CCGGAACTACTGATTACGGGATTTGGTACTCCAAAGTTTCCAATTTTCGATTATGCGGCTTTTCCGATAGTGACTGGGCTAGTTCATTGGATGATCGGCGAAGCATTTCGGCGAATGTTTTCACTCTTGGCTCCGGAGTAATAACTTGGAGCTCAAAGAAGCAAGCAACGGTAGCACTATCCTCTTCGGAAGCTGAATGTATGGCCGTGGCTTCGACAGCATGTCAGGCTGTTTAGTTAAGGAGAATATTAGCCGAACTTCAACAGGAGCAAAAAGGAGCAACGGAGCTACTTTGTGACAACAAATCTACAATCTCCATGACAAAGAATCCAAATTCCCACAGTAGAACGAAGCATATCGATCTTCGATTCCACTTTGTTCGAAAGTTGGTTGCAAAAGAAAAAGGTAAGTTTGAAGTATTGTAACACCAACGATCAATTGGCTGATGTGCTCACCAAATCCTTAGCCAAGGAGAAGTTCATCTATTTCAGAAATTTGCTTGGTGTCTGCAACTTTGAATCAAGGGGGAGTGTTGAAGACTAATTCAAAGTCTGACTAAGTATTTAGATTAGTTAGAAGTGGCCTAATATTATGTTTTGAGTTAGTCAAATAAATTCCTAATTTTTAGCTAATTAGTAGTGGTTAGTTAATAGTGGGAAAGCTCGGTTCTATTTTCTCTATAAATAAAGAAGCCTTTGTACATCTTAATTCATCAAATAATATACAGAGTGATTGCTTCTACAATTCTTTTCCTTTACAAAATATTGCTTTTTATAGCTTTTTAGGATTCCCTAAACGGTGTTACAACTCATAATGATTATATCGTATTTGAGAGGTAAATAAAATTAATGTTTGTATATATCATGTGATATGTGGGAGATAATCCTGCACCTCTCATTCAATGCCCAATAAAGATCTTAAGGTAAAGAAGAATGCAAAAGGTTCCTTATGTTGTCAGCTTTGGGAAATTATATGCATATTTCGATATGTACGCATTCAGCTAAATCGTACATAAAGTTAGGCAGATATTTAAATAACCCTTTAAAGTGGATCTTTGAAAAGAAACAAAAGGGTTATGTAGTAATTATAGAGAATATAAGGCCATATATGCTCATTTATCGAAATGAGTTCATTTGGGAGATCATTTGGTTTTTTTTTTTTTTTCCGAGTTTGTATGATGCTTGAACATTATAGATCCATTTAATGTATACCTAATTAAAAGAGAATTTAAGTACGAGTGTTTAGCCAACACCCAAAACTCTTTTAACTATGGTAACCAGTTTATAAAAGCAACTAATTTTGTAATATACAGAGTGGATAGGTGTCTATAAAATACGTCGATATAAACTCCATTATGTGTGCACACTAAGGATGTCACCCAAAAGGTCTCATGAGCATATTGCTCGTATGGGTGTCATATTATTTAAGGATATTCGGTTTTAGTGGGAGTTTATAATAAATGTGTTCTTTTGGCGTAGACACATTTTTTGGGTTATTTCGGATTAACGATACTCTTAGGATAATTTATGCATAAATAAGGTTTGATTTATTCACACTCTCATTTGTTAAGGTTTGATCTCATTAAGGAGGATCAATTGGAAATAGGTATGTTAAGGTCACATTGCATGACATTTCCATGTTACACATCCACATCATAATCTATGTCATTCAATTGTGTTGATATTGTGACCATTGTTGGGTCCCGTTACGACAAATGTGAATGAAGGCCCCTTTGATTCAGTGTTAGCATGATTGATGGACGAGATTGGTTATAGACACACTTCAGTAATGACAGCAAAGTTGAGCTCAAAGGTAATTTATGCAAACTATAATTATAAAGTTACACATATAGTCCAAGTGGGAGATTGTTGGATCATTAATCCAACATGTGAAATATTATGTGTTGCAAGACCGTCACGTAAGGTTAAGCCCGTTAAAGTGATCGACTAAGGTTTATCTGGATTGGGCTTTAATGTGTCTAATAGGGTGTGGGCATTTAATGTGTAGAGACATTAAGGTAATTTTATTATAGTGATGGGCTAAAATAAAATTACACAAGATAACCCATTAGGTTATATATATATATATTGGTCATGGTCCCCGGATCAGATGTACGGATTTCATTCTCTATGTATTCCATCGACATAAAGAAAACGAAGAGAAGTCTAAAGGATTCTCGGGTTTGGATGTACATGATGATCTGGAAGATCTATGATCGTTTCATATCAATTCTACGAATGAATTACGAAATAAGGTACGCTTCCGATTTACGTTTATGCACAATATTCTTGATGATTCGGCATGACGGTTCCATGGGATTTATTCAAGTTTATTCCATCAATTGAATTTTTCAAACCTTTACATCAAAATCGTATAGGTTTTGGACCGCCTCCGCCTCGGAGACCGATTAATCGGCCGCCTCACCAATGTTTAGAACACTGATATATATATATATATATATATATATATATATATATATATATATATATATATATATATATATATATATATATATATATATATATATATATATATATATATATATATATATATATATATATATATAGATGAAAATAAATTAATTTACCCCGGGTAGTTTGGGGGAGGAGCCGCCCCGATTTGGGTAACCCCGCCCACCACGGAGAAGGATACTTCAACATCCCTTCGGTTCGCAGTGGAGGGAGTGGCGGCGGAAAAGGTGGAGGTAGCAGTTGGTTGAATCGCGGCGGCTCAAATAATAAAGGCAGCGGTGGAGGACATGGAGGAGATGATGGTGGCAATGATCGATGGTCGCAACCGCACTGGCGGCCGGAAAGGTGGTAAGAAAGGCGGAGGTTCTAATATAGTCCGTCGCACTACCTAACTAACGGGGGACCACTCATAGAAACGGCAGCCCGTTAACAGCTTTACGATGGCGCTTATACAATATACATGATTTGTAAATCATTATATAACTTATATGATCAACTTCTTCTATTTTTATTTTTATTTTTGTAACGAAGGAGCTCGCAAACTGTATATGTGCACTGAGTAAATATATACATTCTCGTACAATAGCTGGCAAATAGATGGACAGATGTAAATCATAATAGGTAACCAACCATGTATAACGAGCTCAACCAAATAAACGTTGTCGAGGAGATTCAGACTTGGGTCAGTAGTATTGTGAGGCAAAAGCAACCCATTTTTATTTTTTTGCCAATGGAGTACAAGGATATAAAATAACTCTATATATTGTGGGAATAGAGGAAAGATCATTAGCCCGGATGAGTAAATTAAAGATAACATGACATCTGTGTAGCACAGACACAAAAACGGCGATAGGAGGAAATGGTATATCCGAAAAATGGGGATACGGGAGCTAGAGGAAACGTGTAAATATTAAAATTAAAGTATAGGGGCATATTTATAAATATATATAAATTTTTGATTATATATAAGTTATTTTTCTATATTTTCATGCAAACATATTCAAAATAAATTTTAATATCAGCCATCAATTTGCAACTGGTCACTAAATTATGAAAATAAGGGAAGCAACAAAAATATTTGAAAATTTGTTATTCAAACATGTTTCTAACCTTTTAGAAATTGTAAAATAGCCCGTAAGGTGTCCGGCAAATGTCTTCGAGTTTCGGACATGAAACCTTTCTGAAACGCGGAAACATTAAGAAGTTGAAGATTCCGTGCTACGTAGTATGACATTAAATATATTTCTGAAAATTTATATTATTTTAACTTGATTATATTGCCGGAAAACAACTAAGGGATGAAATTGAAGCCGATCGAATTTATTGCCAAATTATTTTATAGTCGACTATTTATTATTTAAATAGATCTATTGTTTGAATTCACCTGAAATATTTCACCAGGTGTAGCATCTCATAGACCAATATCGAATGACAAAGTAATCGAGCAATTGGTCGACTTAAAATTATCTGCTTATGTAGATACTCCAAATTCTTAAGACAAAAGAGTTATGGTCTGACTTGATAATTGATATTGGAACAAAAAATTCCAATCTCATTTCATCTATAATATTCTCAAGAGTTGATTGCACAGAGCCCCTTTGTAATGTTCAATTTCGAATAAGTCCCCGTGTTAAAAATACTATCAACTCACGGTTTCAACATTATATTACTTTCTTTAAGTAATTGGAAAGCCCTTCAATAATTACTTTATTACTTTAATACAATATTACATTTTACCAATACAAAAGGTAGATCAGTTAATCGAACATAATTGATTATATTTAAATGAGATTAAATTATAAACGGACTCTCCGTTAATAAGTGATAAACGGAGTCCACTAATTGAATGACACTTGTACAAAATAATTAAGAATTGCACTATCATTCTCTCGTTACATTTCAACCCATTTTTTAAAATAGAAATACTTATCCTATTCGTATTTTTATTTTTCTTATCCTTTTGTTAATTAAAATTTGTTGACCTTTGTCATGCTTCACATCTTAGTTTACATTATTTATTTTAATTAGCATAATTCTTAATAAAATATTTTTGTTGTGTACAATCATGGTTCTTTCGACCCCACACCCGCTGATAAATGTCGGGTGAGTCTTTTGCTGCCACGTGTAATATTTAATTACTTATTATATATTATCCGACTTGGGTTAACCTTTAGGGGTTTTAGAAAAATACAAAAAAAAGACACGTGGCAGCAGAAGACTCACACTTGAATATTCCAATTTAAATAAAAAAAATATATTTTCAAAAAAATTAAATAAAAGAATATTTGAAATTTTTGGTAATTGATAATCTAAGGAAATTAAATTTTTTCTCAAGAAAAAAAAAGACAGAAACAAAGAGAAAATATACAATTCGCTTGTTTCGTCCATAGAATTTTAATTTTAAATTGGGTTCCATCAAGATTATTAACTAATATTTAATTTAATTTTCCACGTGTCATTAAATAAGTGGAATCCGTTTTTCCATTAATTTCTATTAATGGTGAGTCCGTCCCAAATTCGCACCCTATTTAAATTTCCAACAATTCGAAGAGAGTTCAACAACTTTTATTACAAACAAGTCCAACTATATATATAAGGTACATTATTCCAACGATACTTCTCTTCCATTATATTTAGCGACAACAAAATATCAGTCTCTAAACCGAATTATTTATATATAGTGTACTTGCATAATTTATTTAGACATTATATATATGAAACATAGTAGTAGTTGTTGATCATGGGCAGAAGACAACCCTGTAGTTAGTACCACCTGGGCAAGTGAAAGTGCTCGACGGGTCATCCTGCGGGTAGCTATAAGCATCGGGGCACCTGTCCTTAAAGAACCTCGAATATCCTGTGGGCCCACAGCTTCCTTGGCCGTTAGTGCAGCAGTACTCATTGGTGCGGAACACGGTGCACGGGTTATTGCATCCGCCCGGGGCCCGCAGCTCGTTCGGGCACTGTTCGTTGATGGGGGCCGTGCACCTCATGCTACGACAAGCATTGCTGGTCGGGCTGAACTCCATCGGGATATTGAAACCGTCCACTAGTGAGATGTCGAGGAAGTCCAAGTTGTTGAACTGATTCAGTGCGTACTCGGCTAGGGTGTTGGGGGGCTGGCCGTACCCCTGGCACTCCAGACGGCCGTTGCAGTCGCCCGTCTGGCACTGGCCATTGCCGTTGCCGTCGAAGTTGCAGTTGGTCCTGCCCCAGATTCGTGCCCCGGCCGTCCCGGCGCCCACGTTGATCTGCCAGGACTCGCCGAGGCCGAGCCTGCGTCCGCCCCCTGGGACGGCGGCGGCCCAGACTGTGTAGCCGCATCGGTTTGTGATGTCGAAAGTGGCGGCATGGGAGAAAGTAACGATGATCGAGAATAACGAGAGAAGAATAATGTAGGATGGAAATGGGAGGGTTTTGGGGAATCCCATGTTGTTTGCCCAAAGGTTTAGATAATTAGTAGTTGTATGGTGTGTGTGTGTGTGTGTGCGTGGTTTCAAGAAGGAAATCGGGTGTCGGTTTAAATAGAAGATTGGCGGGCCAACAAATATTGGATCTACTTGCAATTTTTCCACATGCAGTTGTATACTTGCATTATTCTATGGGTCGAAGGACAATTATTTACGAGAGTCATGTCATTAACAATAAAGTATACTATACTTTTTAAATTATATTTTTCAAGGGGTTTAAATTATATTTAAAGGTATTGGAAAGAAACGTATATTTTAGAAAATGGATTTTAAAAATGAAGTGATTTTTGTATTTGTAGTGAAAACAATTTTTTTTTATATCGACAACAGAAACCTCAATCACTCGAAGTGCACTAAAATCCGCTATCGTGCAATAACTTGCTTGCGTACGAACCGGCCCACCAAGAATTCTTATCCATATACTTTGGTCGTAAGTGTCTTGTGGAAAATTTCTCTAATTAATCTTCAAGTCTTCTTCAATTTCAACAGTACCCTTTGCATTATTTAATTAGGGTTTTTGTCTCAAATATATACAAAGAAGAAAAACACCCAACTCCTAATTATTATATTGCTGAATTTTCAAGTCTTCGTCAATTTCAAAACCTGCCCCTTTGCAATTATTTTCTTTGTCTCAAACTTAATATATAAAGAAAAAATTAGCTCGTAGTCGAACTAAAATAAGGAAAATGATACGATAATATTTATTTGAGTAACTTGTTCGATATTTTATTTGCTAAATGTCCTTTAATTGCTCTCCAAATTAAACATGCTTATCATTGATTACTTTATCCATCATTTCATCGTTATAACTTAATTTGTGATTCGACATTGATTAGGCCTCCAAAATGTGTATTCTATTTCTGAAAATATTTTAAATTCTAAACAAAATCAGTAGGGAAGTCCAATTACTTTTAAAATTAGTAACTAACGAATATATATATATTTTTAAATTACTTTTTTGAATATATATACAATTTTATAAGTAATTTTCTCTTATATTTTAAATTATTTTTTTGACTTAGCCAAGGGAGATTAAAATTCAATTTATATGAACTTAAAGTAAAATCGGTATATAATTATCCTAGAATTGTATTCAGTATTTATGTAACAGCTGTACGTGGAAAATAATGACATGAAATAAGATGAGACTTATCACATGTTAGCCTAACAAGCTAAAACTCGTACCAAAATTTCTTCTTTAATTTGTCTTTTGTTCACCGAGCAAACAAATTAGAAATTTGAACCACGACTTACAAATGCTTAGCCGCCTCCTTATCTATGATGATATTTAAAACACTAGTAAGTAGTAACCATGCCCCGTGCGTCGCACGGGGTACCATTTCAAAATTGAAGAAAACAATTATATAAGGTGGTGTTTGCAAATGATTATTTAAAAGCAGAAGTTAGTGATTGTGATTTAAGTTAGTTTTAAGTGCTTATTTCTAAAAGTTGGGGGTGTTTGCAAATATTTCGGAAAATGAATTAAAATTGAAAAAGCAGGGTTATGGGTGCTTTTGAAAAAATAGCTTAAAGCAGATTATTTTAAGAGAAGCAAAAGCAAAAGTTGATTTTGCAAACGCCTAAAAACAGATTATGAGCAAAAAAAACCGCATAATCACTTTCAAAAAGCATTTGCAAACACCACCTTAATATGCTGAAATTAAATAATTGAGAAAATATTACATCATAAAAAATTGTGTACAAATAGATATATAATATTTAGAACTTGATCAATACTATTAACAATAGTTTTTAGAATTGAAGAATCAAACTTGAGGCTCCAATATCATAATGTAAACACGCGGAGTCCCTTGCTAAATTCCAACATATCATCACTCGTCATTTCTTGCCCCGTTGTTTCTCAACATTCTTTAACATTTGAGGAAACCGTGACAATTTGTTCAAATACTGAGGCTCTTTAAATTCTCATGCTTTCAATTAAAAAAAAATATTTTTTATATTCTGTGAGAAAAAAGCAGGAGTCGATGATAGCGGCAAAGAAATATTTTAAAAGGAAAAAATGAATTTTGTGTTGCCAAATATTACTTTTCATTCTCAAAGTGATGCATACTAACTGATAATTACCTCATGCAAACCGATGAATTTGGGCTTGTAAAAGAATTCTATTGACATAATGTTTTAAAATGTAGGTTTAAATGCACATATCGATCATCATTTGACTATAATCAGGAATAATAGATTTTTAAAATAATATAAGAAAAAAATGTCATTTATCCTATAAATAGTATGTTTCCCAAGCAATATAAAGATAATAATTTTAAGTCCTTATCAAATTTAAAATATTCTAAAGTCTAAGAACAAAACGTCTTTGAACTCTAAGAAATATTATGCCACTTAGTCCTTCTCGATTAAGATCTTCTCCAATGGTCATTGCTTGAAGTCTGAGTAGCACCATCATCGGACAAATCACAACAATCAACATTAATATACAAAATGAGTTTTACGGTTAGATAATCGCCGACAAATAAATGGGGAAATAATAAAAAGTATATGTACAATACAATTCCAACATGTACCCACCCAAATTCTTAAGAAGAAAAAATTTCTTCAATCATAATCAGTATAAGAAATTCGTTTTCTCAGTGTTTTTCTATTTTTTCTAAGTCGGTAACTTGTATAAGAAATTGCAGATTTCATCCCCTTATTTGCAGAACAGAAGCAGATACAATGTTCCATTTAATCAACTCCTCGAATCTCGAAACACCAGAATCATATTTTTCTGTAGACTTGGAACTGTAGACTGCATCAAATCATTTTTGCAAATCAACATTAGCAAAATCTAATGAAAAACCAAGAAAAAATAGCATATGCTGGGGGAAAAAAACACTTGCAAATAAATACAAATCGAAAACTAAGTAAAAGATTGAATCATCCACACCAAAAAGATTGATGGAGAAACTTGATGCAAACGATTTAAAAAACGAATCGAACACAAATATACAATCCTAATTCAGAAACCCAATCGAGAATTGGCTTAATTACTTCTCAAGAGAAATCCGACTAGTCTTTATCCCGTCTCTGTTATTTGCCTTTTTTACTCTTAATTCGAATTTCTGAAGCAGTTCATACAGAAAGGAAGCGAGGAGTGGTGAGTGAAAACATACAAAACGTGTGTGAAAGGGGATGAGATAGAGAAAAAACTTTAACCCTAGATGAAATGCATTTTGTAAAGGCCAATTGCAGGAAAACTAAATGTGGTCATTGATTGAGTTTTGTATACACGTTCTAGGTAATACTTGAAAAGATACGTCTTAAATTCCTGTAAACATACCAGATGAGCAGATCAGACTTGCAATCATATCGTATTTTGGTTAAACCAAAATTGTACATTCTAAACCATCTTAATCCATCAGGAACATGGCAACAAAAACTGTGTAAATCCAAAAATTGGTTGAAATCGTACTATAAGTAGATTGTAGTGCCCGTGGACTTACGTTGTCCTCCTCTTCTCGTTGATGTTTCTCTCTCTTTTCTCACATTATGGTACTGTCACTACCAAATCTTTTTCAAACAGAAAATATTTATTAAGAGAGCAATACATGTGTTTCTTTGCTTCACCAAAATTAGTTAAAACTAGTTTTAAATTTTTATGCTTTTACTGTTGTTAGACGATGTTTCTTGAAGTCAAAGTGGCTGCTTGGTCTGGTTCAGCCGTGTTGTTGTCTGCCTTGTATTGAGGACTAGACTATAAAATGAATAAAAAAGCTCCACTTTTACTTCTTTGCTTATTAAAAATATTTTGCTTTCGATTGTTTTATTGTTTTGAGCATGAAGAAAATGGGGGTCCAATTGAGAACATGGGTAAAATGATGAATATGATTATTGCATGATGAAGGGTTTTTAAATTTATGACAAAATAAAAGAAATACAAATCTACCATTCTTCAAATCCCACAAACAGGTAACCGGTCATTTTTTAGGGCAAAATATGAATGAGGGTGCAAAGTGCAAAAGAAATTCTAATTGGAGGGTGCATTTTGCCATTTTTCTAATTTAAGGGTGCAAAGTGCCAATGAGATGTAATTCGAGGGTGCAAAGTGCCAATTACCCTAATTATCATCTACAACAAACAATTAATAATAACAAAAAGGGCATGTAATTACACAAATTTCTTTATTCCAGAGACGGAAGAAACAAAAAGGGCATGTAATTATTCATATGGACACTTTCTTTCCCAAATTATCATATAACAAAATGATCGACCCAATAATCCCGAAATGAAAAAAAAAAAAGAACAAAAACATATACATGAACATACATCACCAGAAGTACACATTCAAGAGAAAAAAAACCGCAGAAAATTAAAGAAGATCGAGAAATAGAGGCTTATCGGAGTGAGAGGAAAATGATAAGGGGCAGATATCGATGATGAAACCCTAGGCAAATTAAACCCCTTTTCACCTTAACAAAAAGTGAAGAAAGATGGGTGGCCTGAACTCTGAAGACCGAGAGAAGAAAATGAGAGAGAAAATTAAAAGAGGTGGAGACATATAGTTGAATGAAAAATGAGAAAAATAAGAAAGAGGCGGATAGATAATTGGGAAAAAGAAAAGTATGAAATTTTAGAGGAATTGTGTATTTATTCAGTTTTTTAGAGAGGGGACGGTTATTTTTCCGTTTATTCATTTATTTTATTCTGATATCGGCTATTTTAAAAAACTACCTAATAAGAAAAAGGAAAAAAATAGGCAACATGGTGTAGGCAGTTGTATCGTACATGTGTGTGCAGTTAACTTGTGGTGGGCGAAATAATAGTAGAATTATAGCACTACTCCTGAAGAATAGGAAAATATTAGTTCCAACAATTTTGAAACTATGGAGCTGAATAAAAAATAGAGAAATTTTAAATTAGAAATTTAGAATTTATAAAATTACCCCTAAGGTTAAGTCTAGGTTTTAGTTCAAAATATCTTCGTTTTATATATAAGATAGGGTAAATGTGTGATATCCCATAGTTTTGAAAATATATACGAGGAGGTTCTATAAGTTTTTCCGCCCTAATCAAAAACTCAAATTCTAATATTAATTTGTGAGACCCCTCCTAAGCAACTTAAAGTAATTATTTTGTCATTTTAGTTGCCCTAACCCTATTAACCTTCTCTCTCTTCCCATCACACCACATCAACCGTTACATATCTATCTCTCCATCTCTCTAACTCTGTCTCGCCCAAAAAAGAAAACCACCGTAGCGGAAAACTCTCCAGCGGCGGAGAAGAAGCCGAAGGCCAGCAAGAAGGTAAGGACGGAGGAAGGTGAAAAGGAATATTTGCTCACAAACTTTCGAGGTTGCATAAATGGCGGCATTGAAAAGCTACTTCGCTAGATCGAACTACAGATTCCTCCCGACCGATCGCGCCGTCGCCGGCGATTCGGTGATCTACGAGCTCGACGAGTCCGACATCTGGAACTCGGTTCACCGATCGCAGTCGCCGGATTTTCGCAAGGCGAGTGCTAGAATCTCCAGGAAACCGCTGTCCACAGCGGCGGCGGCGGCGACCGGATCAGTCGATGGCTCCGGTGAACGTTCCCTACTGGTCTAAGATACTGAATGAGGAGTACAAGGAGAATCGCCGGATGGAGAGATCTGAGTAGGGTTAGAGGCTTTTTAAAAAAAAAAATTTGATAAGTAAAAGATATATTAATTGAAAAAGGGACAAATGTCAACAATGGGATAACCCCCATCACAACAAAAGCAATTACAAGGAAGCGAAGATAGAGGGATAGAACCATTCCAATGCAAAGAAGCTGCCCATTGAGCAATATTGTGTGCAGCGAAATTTGCATTACGAGAACAAAACTTGAATCTCCATTTCGGCCAAAGAGAACAATAACGTCTGATTTCCTCAATGAGAATTTTCGCAGTCCATCGAATCGTCGAGGAATGATCAGTAAGTAATTGCGTTGAGGCAATCCGATTCGAAAATCACATTATCCACCTTTGCATTTTGAATGAACAGACACGCACTTTTAATCGCAAGAGATTCAGCAGCAAGAGAATCAAGGCATTTATGTTCCATTGAGTATGCAAAAAGAGTAGAGCCATTGCTGTTTCTAATCACAAAAGCAATCTGGGCAGATCCATCAACAAAATTGTTGTCTGAATTGGTTTTGAGCTAACCAATGGGAGTAACTTTCCAGGAATGCGAAATGTTATTGCCGGCAGTGTTGATTTTGGAAAGCTGACTTTTCCAGTGGGAGCTAGCCAAAATTCCAATTCTTTTTGATAAATCCTGTATGGAAGACAAATTAACCAAATTAACAAAAGCAATTGGGCTATGAATGATATCATTTCTTTTTCTCCAAATGAGATCAAAAGTAATTGCAACAAAAAGAAGGAATTCTTTTCTCATAAGCTCCTAGGAGAATAAATTTCCATTTTTCTTAAGAACAAGTTCAAGCCACATTTTAATTGGTTCATATTAGACTTTATTTTTCTTTTTGGCTTTTTACTTTGTTGGAAAAAAAAAAAAGAAAAGCCTCATTTTTTTACCATGGATTTTTTAGGCGAGATTTGAGGTATGGATATTGGTGTTTGTGCTTTTCATGTAATGTAATTCGCATGATCCATCTTTAACTTGTATTTTTTTGTCATAGGTTTTGCTATTTGTATAACTTCATTAGATGCAGAGAAGTGTCTTGTGAAGTTGGATTAATGCTACACTAGTCTAGACTTTATGTCACTATATATAACTATAGATAATTGTAGATAATTAACTATAGTCACGTGTAGTAGCATATAGTTATATGTATGCGAATTACATTACATTTTTCTAATTTCCTTCATTTTTTGTTAGTTTTGATTCATCACTGTCCATTGTTGCTATAAACTACAAACTACACTACACTACATATGACTATACTCGTATAGTCACATATGGTCATATACATGTAGTCATATATAGTCTTTTGTAGTCATATATAGTCATATATAAGATATGTAGGGTTTTTTCTAATGTACAGTGATGTTGATGGATTTGTTTCGTAAATAATATTCGTTTTTTTTTATATAATTTGATAAATATGACCATACGTATAATCGAAAATATACAAGTTTAAGTTGAAAAATGTAAAAAACGGTAATATGAAGCAAGAATATGACTATAGTCGACTATAGTCATATATAATCATATTTGAAACAGTGAACTTTTCGAGGAAAAAAACTATTAAAAAAAAAAATTATATTTTGTTTTTTTTTTAAATTAAAAAACTTATTCAAAAAAGGCAAAAAAAAAAAGAAAAAGAAAATGCTAAATGCAGTTGGTGGAAATGCTGAATGCAGTTAGGGCAACAATTGCATGTAAGGGCAGCATAGTCTTTTTGCCTCTTCAGGGGGTATATTTTCCATATTAGGGGTGTATATCAAATGGCCTCTAAAGCATGTACCCCATCGTATATATTTTGGTTAAATACAAATTGCACCATTGTACTATCACCAGTGTCGCGTATACCGTGGTGTATTACAAAATGCGACAAAGTGACCCCTCAACTTAACGGTCAATCCTCAAATCGCTAACACCATTAATTTATAGCGTAGTTACCATTTAACCCTTACATTTATATGATATAAACAAGATTTTTTATTTTTTTTACTTTATTACATGGCCATTTTTTTTACTTTATTACGTAGCATTCCATGCTTCTCCGATGTACATCTTAACGTAAGGGTGTTTTAGGAACCGACATAAGTGCTAAGAGACGAACTCCATGCTTCTAATGCATCGAGCTTCAATATATAATATAATTACAAGGTCCAAATTTCCTTGGAAATATATCGTTTCGTTGTTTTCCATTTCACTATACGTAAAATGAATAACAATGTAAGTTATATATGTTGTATGTATATAAGTAATCAAAGAAAGTTGTTGTAGGATTTCTTGATACAAATTTGATATGATATATAGTTATATACTACAGGTGGAACAGCTTATATGATTAATACATGAATTTAATTAGAACAAATATGAAAGAAGAATTGTAATTAAAGTTACGGTCTAAAGAATCTTTAATTGCTTTCTTCTTTAAGATATCAAAGGATATATCATACCATAATTAGTCACACATAAGGGAGATCTTGGAATTTGTGATGCATCACTTTAATACTATATAGTTTTATTAATCAACTTGTTATTCGTAAACTAGTCATTTTCTATTACTTTAATTTATATTACTATAGGTATAATTCATAAATTAACAAATCATATAAAGTACCTCTAATTAATCAAAATTCAGAAACCAAACAAAATTAATTAATCAAAAGTATGGACCGGGTGTTGTGGGAATTTCTTTCGAGTTTACACAATTTTTGTGCTTGCTCTAGACACCCACACACACAAATATATGTTGGAACTTTCATGATTTCCAATAATTAATATTGAGTAATATTAATTAAATTATGTAAAGATTAATTTCATTTATTTACTTGATCATAATCATGAAGTAAAGTGAATGAAAATTGTCTTGATTAAATGGTTAAAGTTCAAAAGATGTGCGCTCGATGTGATCGAGTGGTAGGACTAGTTTGGGTTTAGGTGTCCGCAAATATTACTTTTGGGGATATTTAGTAATTAGTCAAATTAGTTGACCCAAAATCTAAATAATTAAATATTTGGCCCAAACCAAATATTTAATTAATTGGCCCATGACCAATTAATTTTCCTACGTTTTGAACTCGGTAAAAAGAACAGACACAACCTTCTGCTTCTTCTTCCAACCATTGCAACCCTCTATGAATGGATCTCTACCGCCTATAAATAAAGGCAGAATCTGGCCAATTCTGTACGGAATTTAATCGACAATTACGAGATAGTTCTTCATATTCTTATTTCCCTTCGTCAAAGTTTCGTTTGTTGTTCAAGTTCGCCGTGGGTCGAATATTCGTGCAAATATTTGACAACCGATCGTTGTACCTTGGGAGACTACCGGGAAGAAACTGTGCACTGTTGATAGCCCGAAAATATTGTCTTAAGGGAATTGCTTTGGCAAGCCTCGATCGTTCTTTGTGTTTTCACAATTCCTCTTTTCGACAAACAAGTGAATTCGTTCGTTTACGCAGATTGTTATATATATATATATATATATATATATATATATATATACACACACACACACATCAGGGGCGGAACCAGAAAATATGATTAGGGGGCATGTTTTTATGAAATAATAACATGAAGGGAGATACAAATTTTGGGGGGTTCAGGGGCATGGCCCCTGGATATTTTTTAAGAATAGTTTATAAAAGGAAGCAAAAAATAAGTAATATTTTATATAAAATGGTATGATTTTAACAATAATATTTTATATTATAATGATATATATGAAAAGTATATAAATTTAAATGAAAGAATAGAGAAAAATTAAAACAATGAAGGGTTAAAATTCATATTTATAAAAGATTGGAGGGCCAAAACCTATATTTTAAAAATGTTACTCAAATTTACTAAAAAAAATTAAATCTTGGGGAGTCCAACCAGCGATGTTGCTTCCCAAAGTCATAATTCTCTCTCCAGTGGTCAGAATTCGATGGTTTAACTACCGTTGGATTCCCCTCGCCGAGTTCTTTCTTTTGGTAGTGATTTCATAGAGTTTGGAGCTCTGGATATGTTTATGCAATCGTTTTACCGTGCCAGCGTATTGGACATCAAAATTAATATGTAGAATATTTTTTCATTACATATATTTTTATTAGGTATATAAAATACGAAATACAACATAAATATGAAATATTATGCCACATGGATAAAATATTTCATACAATTTCAATTATTCGAGGGAGACTCCACGGATAATTAATTATTTAAATTTTAAACTATGAACCACAATACGAGTTATGTTCATGGGCAGAAGACAACCCTGTAGTTGGTACCAGCTGGACAAGTGAAAAGGCTTGTCGGATCATCTTGGGGATAGCTATAAGCATCAGGGCACCTCTCCTTAAAGAACCTTGAAAATGGTGTTGGACCACATGTTCCGGGCCCGTTAGTGCAACAATACTGGTTCCCACCGAAGACAGTGCAAGGGTTGTTGCATCCGCCCGGGGTCCGCAGCTCATTCGGGCACTGGTCGTTGATCGGAGCAGTACACCTAAGGTTGCGGCAAACATTGGTTATGGGGCTAAATTCCATCGGGATATTGAACCCGTCGACAAGAGAGATGTCGACAAAGTCCAAGTTGTTGGGTTGATTGAGGGCGAACTCGGCTAGGGTATTGGGGGCCCGTCCGTAGCCCTGACACTCCAGACGGCCGTTGCAGTCGCCAGTCTGACACTGGCCTTGGCCGCTGCCGTCGAAGTTGCAGTTGGTCCTGCCCCAGATTCGAGCCTGGACGGTCCCTGGCGCGACGTTGATCTGCCAGGACTGACCAGACTCGAGTCTACGGCCGCCGCCGGGGGAAGCGGCGGCCCAGACGGTGAAGCCGCATCGGTTTGTGATGTCGAAAGTGGCGGCACGGGAGGAAGTGATCATCAATAATGATATTGAGAGAGACAAAAACACCATTGTGAGGTTTTTGAGGATTAATCCCATGTTGATCAATTAGTATGATGAATGGTTAATTATAGTAGGTGTGTGGTATTGAAGAATGAAGGATTTGGGGGTTTATATAGAAGGTTGGCGGCTAAAATGTTGCGTGTCCCTAACGTTGGATCTTCTTGATTTTAATTTGTGGTTAGACATTTCAAAGATTTAATTTGGATTTGGATATAAATTCCGTTTTTCTTCATGTTCATAAATTATATTTTCGCCTAATGCAATGACTAAATTGGCATCTCTAGATTATATGGGAAAGTTCTAACTTTTGTCTTCTATGTTAGGCTTATTTAAGGATTTAGTCCCCTATCATGCATTATTTAATTTTATATGCTATAACTTTGCAAATATAGTACATTTGGTCCTATTTTGCATGATTATTTTTTTTTGTTTAATTTAATGATGCGTCAAATAAACTTGATGTATTTTAATTTACTTATATGGACAGCAATATTTATAAATATAATATTTAATTTATCCTTGGTTGAACTTTGATAATTTTATTATTATTATTATTATTATTATTATTATTATTATTATTATTATTATTATTATTATTATTATTATTATTATTATTATTATTATTATTATTATTATTATTATTATTATTATTATTATTATTATTATTATTATTATTATTATTATTATTATTATTATTATTATTATTATTATTATTATTATTATTATTATTATTATTATTATTATTATTATTATGTGAGAGAATAAATTTGTAAACCAAGTTAGAGGAGCATTTGTAATTTTTAAATGTATGTGAGCGTATTTCTCGGTGTAGGGGTTCTTGCATGTGTTGGTGCACGTGCGTGTATGTATGTGCAGTGGCAATGCCATATTATAAATGATGGTGAGGAAAAAGGGCAGCGCTCTCGAAATTTGTTTCAAGGATATTAATAGAAAATAGCCCAAAATAAATATTTATTTTTCGTATCAACAATAATTATTTCATATATTGTTTGAGTATTCAGATAAATAAAAAAAAGCTTTTATATCAACAATAATACAAAATGTAACTCTAATTTTAAAAACATTACCTCAAAAAAATAGCTCTTATATCAATTATGTATTTTTGTTGATATAAAAGCAAATTAGACCATTTTTATTATAAAAATAAAAATTCAATTCTCTAAATTTGTTGTTTGGTTTTGTATTGTACACATAACTCTAAAGTTTTTAGCTTAAACATCATATGATAGAGGGGCAATATATATAGGTGGTCGGTGTAATTAATGCCTTAAAAGTCATATTTCTTATTCACCTTGTAATTAACTTAAACCGAGTGCATTAATAATTGATGTAGTTGAAACAATCTTTTAGTTACTCTTCGCATGTTTAATTTTTGTGGTTTGCTTTTCTTTGTCAAAATAAATTAAAGGTAAGAGATTAGTAGTGTGGTAGGCACTTCAATTTTCTTGATTTTTCTACTCTCCATTTTCGTTTGCACAATGCTCAAATTCTCTATAGGCCCATAAGAATTAACTTTCTTGCAAATCGATCCAGTCTTTTTTACCTACAAAAATTAGACATATTAAACTATTTTACTTAAACTTCACCAATGAAAAAAAAAATACCCTCAAATCCTAATTCTACTTAATTTCATCCATTAAAATATACTTTTACTCCAATTTAATCCATTGATAGTTAATCATTGACCGCCGACCACCGTAAACCGGTTCGTGTTGGTGTTTAATTTTTTTTGCAATTTTTGTTTTCCGTTAATGTTGTTAAATTGACCGACAATGTTACTGTATTAATTGATCAACACAGTATTAATTAAAAAAACATTTTTTTTGATATTTTTTTAACCATCAATGTTGTTGGGTTGACTGCCAATATTACGGTGTTAAACGATCAACACAACAATATTAAAAAAAAATCTCAGATGTTGATCACCGATATTGTACTATTGATCGTCACTACTATGTTGTTGTTAACAACATTATAGCCGAAAAAGGAGAAAAAAAAAATCAATGCTATTGTTAACCTGTGTTGACCGGTCATAAAATATGTCGGGCCAAGAAATTGGGGATCTAGAGGCGATAAATTTCACCTTTTGGTGCAAAAAAACTGTAAAGTCGATAAATCGGTATATAATTCTCCTAGAGTTGTACGTGGAAAATAATGACATGCACCAAGATGAGATTTATAACATATCTTAGCCAAACAAGCCACCGAATATTCGTACCATAATTTCTTGTTTGATTTGTCTTTGGTTCACCAAGCAAACAAATTAGGAATGCCGGAACCTACAATATGGAAATTAACAAGTCAACAATAAAATTTGAACCACGTATTACAAATGCTTAGCCTCCCCTCCTTATCTATGATCATATTTAAAGCATGTGGGATGTGGCCCATGGTATATATATATTTGGGCAAATTGCATATAGCCCCAAATAGGGAAATTTATTTGCATTCCTATTTAGACTTAACATCAATCTTACAAAAAAGCCAATTCCCTTTTCTCTTGTTCAAAATATCCCTTACAATATAATTTGCATAAATTTCATCTACAATGTACAAATTTAGCAAATATTGAACATGTTGATTTTAAATGCCTATGAATATCTACTCATCTTTGAGACAGATTACGTGTTACGACATTAGGTGTGGTAACAGAATTCTTGTGTTGTCACAATAGCTAATCTACTAAAAGTAGAATAAAGAACACAAGAATTTAATGTGGTTCGGATACAAACGTACCGTACATCCACGAGGACTTGCAAGACTAGTTCAGATTTAAGTGTACATTAATAGGACTTAATAAAAACACTAAAGACTCCCTCTTTATGTAATATGTCGTTCTTGCACACAACTCGAACTTGTTGATAATCAAAGCAATTCCTCCTCCGCAGTCTTGGACTTCCTCCAATGTTGAACTTCCTTCAAACGGCGGATCGACCTCTCCCGAGATCTTTTAAGCACTTCTCCTGAAACGTCGATCTTCTTTATGGCCTGGTAGAAGAAACCCGTTCTGTTGCCACACCTGATGTGCCGACAGGGTTGCAGCACGGGCTGCACCCTTCAAAGCCCTTATGCTGGGAATTTTCTTATTAAAGCTCCATAGGACTCATATGAGGTTGAGGGCCTTATATAGGCACGAAATCCACCACCCTAAACCTAACTTGAGCCCTAAGAAATCGATTAACTAGGTAATAGAATTCTAGTCGATTTCTACTTCTATTCTAGATAAGTACAAAATATACCTAACTAGAATACAATGCATGGAAATAAATCTAAGTCCTTATAACAATATTACAAGAATATGACTCTAATTAATTCCAAAATAAACATGGAAAATAAATCTTTACCAATCTTTAATTTCCACGTATGATGGATTTCTTCAATCTTCACTAACAAAAATCTGGCGCCAACAGAACATTAACCCCAAATTTTAACAAATATTGCATATTAACCCCATTTTTCACAATTTGTTTTGAAAAAATATTTTTTTATCTGAACTTTTCTTTCCGGCCATTGACCAGGGTAACCACCGGTCTCTAGCATCGACTTTTTATAAGAGCAGCTATATATAGTCCAGTTTTATATAATTCAATTAAAGAAGATTCGATATTCAATTTCTGATAAATCAAGCAACTGACTCGTATTTGCTAAAATTTTTGAATTGACCTTACTTTTCTTTAATCGGTCTAATTAAATGGTTTTTGATATGCCTAATTGAACCGACCCAATGGGCCCAATAGGCTTATGATTTATGTATCTAATGGGTCACGAGCAAGATTTAAAAGACCGCAACTACGAAAGCACAAACACCTTCAAATACCCAACAAAATAACTTCAATCCAATCAACGAGGTATAAATTAATGTTTTAACTCATTTGTTAATGTACGTTCTATTATTCATGCAATACAACAACTAATATTATCTCTACTATCTCCACTATCAGCACGTTTGACTTGAGCGTCGGAAGGATTTCCGCCAAATCAACCCCCGACTTAGATTACATGTATTTTGTTCGTAGTTCCGCCAAATCAACCCCCGACTTAGATTACATGTATTTTGTTCGTAGGAACCTCAATATCATTAAGGTGCCCCAGGACCATCTAACTCGTGAGCCAGTGATCCATTCTGCTCTCCCAACTCATTCTACCGGGTTTTTTGCAAGGACCACCCTTCTGTAATTCCGAATTGCCGAAAAACCCCTCGTGTTAAAAAAATTAGTAGGAACCCCCCGATGAAAATTAGTCAAAGGCAAAAAAAACCTTGACAGCATGTCGTGTGTTATACGCGCTGCTTGTGTAACTGAGAGTGTAGTTTTTGACGTGAAAAGTCAAAAATACCCTCTTAAATTCTTTTATAAATAAACCCAAATTCAATTGGGTTTAAATGTAGATAATACAAACTTTTGGATCGAATAATAATTTTCAAAATTTCTTACACAAACAAAAGTAACATAAAAAAAAATAGATCTCAATTAGACTCGTCTTCTTCCCGAATTTTCTCCTCCTACAGCCGCCCATTTCCTACCACCACCGGCCTCCTCCACCGACAACTTCTCTTTTCCAACGCCAAGTGCTTGAACCCCACAGCCCTCCACCATTCATCGGTAATGGAGGATTTTCAGCACATGCGTCCTTCAACAACATTTTTCCGACGAGAAGAACCGGATCTGACTACGGGGAGTTATTCCGGCGAGAAATAAGGGTGGGGACCTGGTTAAAGGTAGATTCGATGTGGGCAAACATTTTCCGGCCAAATTTGATGGTCGGCGATTTCTAAAAGTGGGTCTGGTTCGATGTAGATTGGACGGGGGAAATCATTTTTCGGACAAATTGAACTGTAACACTTCTATTCTGACGAGTTGTGAGAAATGATTACTGAAAAATCATTAAAAATCTAAGAAGATGAATGTTTTGGGGAGGATTTAAAAAAAGAAAAAGAAAACAAAACAATAGCTCATTCTTTTTTACTGTTTTTTTTTGTAATTTTTTTTTTTAAAATAAGATTTTCCAGTGTGTTGGGGAAGATGGTTTTGGCCTTTTGGGTTTTGTCCGAATTTTTTTTTTGTTTTTTTTAACAATTTCATGTTTCTTTGGTAAGGATAAATTAGTCATTGTATGTAAGTCAATAGCTAATTTTAACGAAAGGGGCGGTGTGCTTCGTATAAAACAATATAGGGGGGTTTGTGCTAATTTTTTTAACACAGGGTGTTTTTTAGCTATTCGAGATTACACAGGGGGTTATGTGCAATTAGCTCCATTCTACCTCACCAATCAAGGTAATCTAATTCTAGTATCATCAGTTTCAAACATCATGTAATACTTTATTAATTTATTTAACTGGCCATTATAACCTAAAAACAAACAAGATCAAATATATATATATATATATATATATATATATATATATATATATATATATATATATATATATATATATATATATATGATTGTACTATGCATATTATGGTTATATGTATTTTGTAAATGATGATTATACAAAAGCATGTAAAAAATCAAAATTTTCCAAAGGAGCACAGCTTTATTTTTTCCTTTTTAATGAAACCACAAATGTGATGAAGGTCCTTCCAAACAAATAGAAACAGAGCTCAGAGCTAGTAGCAAGATCTTCAGCTAAACTGTTGCAACGTCTTTCGATAAAACTAAAAGAGCAACAAGAAAAGAAATTAGTTAGATGAAAACAACCATCCAAGATTTCTTCAAAAGATTTCAGTGATTGACTCTTTGTCCGTAGGCTCAATCTCACAAAATCGTCAAAACTTAACAAATCTTACAAATATGGCAAGTATAGAGTGAGAAGACATCAAAATAGAAAATTCTACGATGGAAACCCAAGAAGGTATGCATTTATGGGTTTTTTTAGCTAAAATATCGATTTTCCAAAAAGCAATCCCGCGCCAACGAATTCGACATGTACAGGTCGAATTTTACAGGTAAAAATCGACATTTAGATGTCGATTTTGAGGTATAAAATTCGACATTTGAATTTGTGCTATAAATTCGACATGTCAATGTCGATTTTTACCTATGAAATTCGACGCTTAAGTGTCGATTTGTAGCATAGTTTTTCGACACCTTGGTGTCGATTTTTACCAGTTTCAAATTTAATTTGTTTTTCCTCTTTTTTTGAGCAGATTTAGGTCATGTGCGTGGCGGGGTTGGCGGCGGCGGCGATCGGCGGTGGAGCTTGGGCGGCTGAGCTTGAGCGGCGGAGAAGGTGGGGTAGGTAGGGTTTTCGAAGGGGGGGGGGGGGGGGGGGGGGAAGGTTTTTTTTTTTTTTTTTAAAACCAGGCTCCAAGGTTTCCTTTTGGGGGGCCGTTTTTGGCAACCCCCTTTTTTTTTTTTTCCAAACCCCCCAAAAGGGGTTTTTAATTCCAGCCCCCGAAATAAACCAAATTTTTTACCCCCCGGCCCAAAAGGGACAAATTTCCCCTTTCCCCCAAAAAAATTTTAAAAAAAAAAAAATCTTATTTTTAATTTGTTCAAGACCAAAAATCAAAAAAAAGAAAAAAAAAAAAAAATATCACGACTCCCAACCAGCGAGACTTTCACTGCACCGGCTATGACTAGCGACCCACCCACTGCACCATTACCACCACCAACAAGTAAGTCCATTTTACTAAACTTTTGTTTGTAAATTCGAAAACATTAATCGATCATCGATGTCTTTTTTACTAAATTTTTATTTGTAAATTCGAAAACATTAATCAAACATCGATTCTTGATAAATATGTACGAATGAACATTAATCTATGCTTATTTCTTGTTGGGTTGCAATGATTTGGCCGATTTTGGAAAAAAAATTGAGATTGAAATTGATTTTTTTTATTTTTTTTCGTTGGTTTCCGAAATCGGTTTATCCAGACCGATTTTGTACACGAAAATCGGCGTCATAATACCGATTTTTGTTAACCAAATCGGCGACACAACGCCGACTTTTCAAGTCAAAATCGGCGTTCTAATGTCGATTATTGAGTACAAAATCGGTTTTCGAATACCGATATTTTTTGATTTTTTTTAAATAATACATTATATATTTGGTTAATTGATATTTTTTAAATATTTGGAACGAAAATGTTTATCACCATTCGGTGGCGTCTACCACGCCTTTAACCCAATCGAGTAGAGCTTTCCGTATCTCAAATATTTATTCGTTAGATAATTCATTTGAATAATCCTCCATCAATCCCCTAGGTTGATGCACGAAAGTATGAGACAACGGTCTTAAAAAAACACAGATAATAAAATCGGTATTGAAAAACCAATTTTTGTAGTACAAGTCGGCATGACAATACCGATAAAACAAAAACAAATCGGTGTTGTCATGCCGATTTTTACTACAAAAATCGGTGTTTAAGTACCGATTTTTATTAAAATAATCGGAATGTGGTTACCGACTTTCGTAACAAAAATCGGTATTTGCAGACCTATTTTTTGTATCGTCGAATTTTTTTCCCAACAAAAAAAAACGACCCAAAAGCAAAAATAAAGGGTTAAAACATATTTCATTGTGTTCTCCACCCTCGTAAACCACCATATCATTGTTTTATGGTTCCATCGTGAATGTTTGGTATGTATTTGATAATTTTCGTGTGTAGGATTTCTTTGTGGGTTTGTGAAGAAGAAGGAGAAGAAGAAGGAGAGTTTTAAGTCGTGAAATAAGGAAGAGGGGTTTCTCGATTTATGTATTTTATTTGGTCTTGCACAAAGGAAATGATTTCTTTTTATTTTTTAATGTTTTCTATTTTTTATTTAATTTTAAATTTCATTAAGGGTAAATTAGTATTTTTATGTTGAAGGTCTTGAATTAATAAAAAAATGGGCTTGCATATAACCGCCGCCTTCTTTTTTTGTTTTTTTTTTCCTCATTATTTGTATTTGGTCTTGCATGAGAAAAAAAAAACCAATTTAATTTATGGGCATATTTGTCATTCCATCTTAATAAAATAGAATCTTTTGGAATCTTTCTTTAATTTGGTCTTGCACAAGTGGAATGAGTATTGCATATAGCCGCAGCCATTATTTTATTTATAGATATTTAAGAGTCCTTTTGTGAATGGATATGTTGTTTTAAAAAGAGTTATTTCATAAGTAGACGTGTTGTTTGGAAAGAAACCCATTCATTTCAAACATGCACCTATTTGAAATACCCTAATTGTTTTATTCAATTAAAAATTCCAACACATTGTACAACTAAGAGTGGTCCATAAACAAAATAATTTTTTAAGATAAATTCAATTGTGATAAATATGCAGCTTCACCATAATACCTATTCCTAATTTTTTTTTTAACCTAGCCCTTTCTCTCATTCCTTTTCTATCTCTCTCTTCTTTTTCTCTACGCCTAATTTCTCTCTTCCATGGTTCCTTTTCTTTCTTTCTCTCATTTATCTTCTCTTCTCCTTCTCTCTTTTTCTCTCCTTCGAGATGTGTTCTCTTATCTTTCATCTATTCTCCTCCACTCAACACGCCGTCGCCGTCTATTGCAATTTTCTCAAAGAAAAATCCCAAATTCAACAGTTGACCGTTACTTCTTGACGGTCAAACAGACGGAGGGACTAAATGTGTTAAAATGTATTAAAATGTGACAACATTAGTGTGTATTTTGTTGACGGCGGTAAATGGGGGACCAAAAGTGAAAAACGTGCAAACTTGGGTGACCAAAAGTGAAAAACGTGCAAACTTGGGGGACCAAAACTGTAATTATCCCCCTCTGTCATCTATAATAATTATTTAATTAATAAAAAATTATGGTATATTTTTATATAGTAAGACCAAGATTTTTGGACATGAAAGAAGACTCGGATGATCTTAATTTTTTTTGACTCTGAAACTCTGATGAAAAAGGAAAAGGTTGTTTTATTCACACATACATACATATATATATATATATATATATATATATATATATATATATATATATATATATATATATATATATATATATAAGAAAAATCGAGAAAGTGCAATTAGATCACTAAAAACAACAGAAAAAATTGAAGTGAGTGGAGCAATATGTCTTGTTTTGATCACATACAACAACAGTCTGGCCAGGCCCAGGCGATTTTATCACGTTTTCCTTTGTCGCTTCGATCAACGTTTCCCGTATTAGTGGTTCGGAGCTCTTCGATCAACGCACCAGTGCCGCCACACCTACCTACGCGCCGGCTATCATAGCTCCTGATGTTACGGGGTATTTACCCCATAATTTAGGGGTTCAAACTGAACCTTCCCATATATATAAATAGATATTGTAAATGGGGGTCAATATGCTTAACATGTCTTGGGCATCCTATCAGTTATAATTTAATAATTATTGACACTATGTAAATGTGGGCGCTTGACACAATGATGACGTGGCGAGCGGGAGCAAAACTGGAAAAAATAGTGACTAGAAATTGGTGCGGACTTTTCTCAAATGGAATAAAATATTTTGGCCCTCTCACCATTAAAAATAAGACTTTGAGACAAGCAAAAGTAAACTCGTTCTTTTGAGAACTACGATAAATTAATATTCGATAAATTAATAACTTCTTCTGGCCCCAACTCAGTTAAAATCAATAGTTCGATAATCTAATATTTCACTAAATTAATAGAATTTTGGTAATCCCAACCGTAAGACGTTTAACTGTATATAATATATACATCTAAAGTAGAATCCCCTTATACTCGAGAACTTTGATGAGATCGCTGCAGTTGAGGTGGTAATCGTTTCCCTCCATGTCGTAAATTCTTCTTACTTGTTGAGTCGAATAATCGTAGAAAACGAGCTTAGTTTTCCCCCTCACAACAATTACACGGCTTCTCCACAAAGCCCCGACGGGCTTCGTCACACCTAAAAAGGGTCCGACACGCGTCAACCGAGTCCAGTGCTTTAAACCCTTCAACTCCCATCTTTCGAACAAGTAATTTTTTCCCGTAACCCGTTCTCGTGGGTACGCGAATAGAACGAGCGAGCTACTGCCCTTGGCAAAAATCTTCACCTTATGTTTAAATTGATCGTACTCGATCGGGATCGGGGTCCTCACAAAGACCTCTTTCTGCATGTCGAAAGATAGTACGACACTTTGATTGTTATCGATCCAATGAGCAAACGAACCATCCTCGTACGACCCGATTGCGCGGGAGATAAAAGTGTCCGACGTAGCAGCATCGTCGTCGGGTACATGTCTCCATGTCTTGTTGCTCGGGGAGTAGATATCCACGCGGATTCCTTTCTTGATCGCATCCTTGAACCGAAAAATATAAGACAAAATTTGTACTAGTTTTATTTCTTTGGTGACGGAATCTAGACCGAATCCCATGCTTCGTATGACGGATGTTCTGAAACTGAATTCGTTGTCGGTAACGGTGCAGATCGGGAGAGTCTCGGTTGTACGGAGATTAGGGTTGCAGAGGGTGATTCCCCCCATCCTGGGCATCCCGAGAATCCGGTAGATGCAGATGAAACCGTTAAACGGGCCGATGATTTTCTCTTTGATCCTCCTCGTCTTCTCCAGCATCGTTGGTAATTCGATAAATTTTTCGTCCGCACGCCCGCCGCCGCCGTCACCAACGGCTACGGTTGTCAATTCCGACGGCGACGATGTGCCGAACGTGGTAAACGATAGTTTCCACTTTCGGGTGGTTTGGTCGAAGGCGAGTAGAACGAAGTTGTTGCTATTGCCGTAGTTGTTGAGGTACGATTCGGCGAAACTCGGGGAAGAGATTAAAGTGTTCCATGATTTGGATACGGCCTTGAATCGGAACAGAGAATGCACGGGGAGTCGTGATAGTATTTCTTCAACAATTTCTTCCGAAAAGTACACCGTCGATTCATTACCTTTTATCTGTTTTTTATTGGGTTTTTTGCAAAAACCACCCTTGTGTAATCTCGAATTGCTAAAAAACACCTTGTGTTAACAAAATTAGCAAATACCCCCCTATGAAAATTAGTCAAAGGCAATAAGGCCCTTGCTAGCCGAACGTGTGTAGCACACGCGAAATGTGCGAGTGGGTGTCTATTTTTTGACGTGAAAAGACTCAAATACCCTTTAAATTAGAAATTTAAAAAATTATAAATTCACCCCATAATTTTAATCAGGCCCAAAATGAATTTCTCAAAATTTTCAATTCAATCCCTAATATTTCTAAAAAGCCATCTTCCCCAATAAACCCAAAACCACACCCCAAAACCAGAATTTTCTTATCCACCACACACCTACAGCCATCAATAGTTTCCCCCACCATCAAATAATCCATTACGAATCAACAAACAAAAGGGAAGCTGAAATTCAATTCAAGCAAAAAAAGAAATGCATTTACAGACCGTATTTTTGTGTGTGTGTGTGTGTGTAAGACCCACCATTAGAGCACGTGGAGGGGAGCTTGAACAGACACAATAAACTTCTTCAGCCTCCTAACTCTAAACAATGGCCTCTTCCCTCGTTATCTTCTCCTCCGTCAGATCCACCAATTCTTTTTTTTTTTTTTTTTTTTTTTTTTCCTTTTTTTCTCTTTTTCTATTTTTCCCACAATACAAATAGGCCAAATGAAATTTAACAACAAGAAATTTCGTGTCAAAACTAACAAGAGTTATCTTCCCTTTGTTCTTTGTTCTTGAGGCGGTTTGACATCTTCAACTCCATTGCCGCTCTCAAAGTGAAAAAAATTCGAACTTTGCTTTTTTTTTCCCCGATTTTTTGTTTTCTAGTGTGGGGTATTTGGTTTGTTCTAACTAGGGGTGGTTTCGTCATTTCATGTAAGTCAACACCCAATTTAAATGTAAGGGGCAGTGTACTTTGTAAAACAAAATATAGGGAGATTTTTGCTAATTTTTTTAACACACGGGTCTTTTTGCCCATTCGAAATTACACAGGGGGTTATATGCAATTAGCTCGTTTTTTATTATTTCCCATCGATCTCTTTTTTATCTGTTGATAGAGAGAGAAACAGAGAGAGAGAGAGAGAGAGAGAGTAGGGATCACACAAATAATTCTATGCCCCTCTCTCTATATATATATATATATATAGGACTTGTTCTTGTTGAACTCTTCCCAAAAGTTTTCTAGAGAGATACTTGTTTCCTTATGCGAGTGGAGGTATAATTCTTTTGCATGAAAAGACCTAAATATTCTTTACATAAATTTCCAAAATTATAGATTCACCTCAAATAAAGTTTCCAAATTTACAATTCATTCCCCGATACTTTCAATTAAGTCCTCTCTCCAATAATATTATTTTTAATAATTAAATTTAGGAAAAATGGCAAAAAGGCCCATGACAAAGGCATTTAATTCAAAAAGGGATATCCAACTTTTTTATCTTGTAAATATTGCCGGCTCATTCAAACTTATTTGCTAATAAGGAAAATTATTTTATATATACCAAAATTAACCCCAATTCATTAACACCCAATTCAACTCCAATTTCATGATTTACACCCCAATTTAGCCCTATTTCACCAATTAACCAATTTTTAACCCTAATTTCAAATTTGACCCCAATTTTGACCCGCCACTACCGGAGATCGCCGGTCAGCATTAGAATTATGGTTATAATTAATATTCTTTGAATTAGTATTAGTATTAAAACTAGGATTAGGATTCAGATTAATATAGTATTAGAATTAATATTAGGATTATGATAAGGATTATGATTAATATTAGTATTAGAATTACAATTAAGATTATGATTATGATGAGTACTACAATTAGTGACATGTATTAGTATTAGAATTATAATTAGTATTAGGATTAGGATTATGATTAGAATCAAGATTAGAATTATAATTAGAATTAACATTAGCGTTAGCATTCGCATTAGCATTAATATTATTAGTATTAAAATTATTAGGGTTAGGATTAGACTTATGATTAGTGTTAGGAATATGATTAGGATTAGAATCATGATTAGTGTTATGAATAGGACAAGGATTTGGATAATATTAGGATTACAATTATAATTAGCATTAGCATATAGAGATTAGCATTAACATCAAAATTATTAACATATTAGTATTAGTATTAGAATTAATATTTGTATTAGTATTAGTATTAATATTAGTATTAGTATTAGTATTAGCATTAGCATTAGTATTAGCATTAGTATTAGTATTAGTATTAGTATTAGTATTAGTATTAGTATTAGTATTAGTATTAGTATTAGTATTAGTATTAGTATTAGTATTAGTATTAGTATTAGTATTAGTATTAGTATTAGTATTAGTATTAGTATTAGTATTAGTATTGGTATTAGTATCAGTATTAGTATTAGTATTACTATTATTATTAGTATTAGTATTAGTATTAGTATCTTATATATAAAAGAAAGAAACGTTGGGCAACCCTAGAAAAACCCTAATGGCATATTTGTAATTAATTAAATCTTCTAATGATTAAAATCTCTTTTTCGTTCTTTTTTAACTTTCGCTCCTAATTATCCTGCATATTATTTGTAATTTTGTTTTTTAATTTCCATCGCTCCTAATTTTCAGCCCTAAAATGTGTGATGCACAACTAATTAAATCTTCTAAATATTAAAATCTCTTTTTTTGTTTTTTTGTAATTTTTTTATTTTATCTCCAGCATATTTTTTGTATTATCTTATATATAAAAGAAAGAAACATTGGGCAACCCTAGAAAAATACTAATGGCATATTTGTAATTAATTAAATCTTCTAATTATTAAAATCTCTTTTTTGTTCTTTTTTAACTTTCGCTCCTAATTATCCTGCATATTATTTGTAATTTTGTTTTTTAATTTCCATCGCTCCTAATTTTCAGCCCTAAAATCTTATATATAAAAGAAAGAAACGTTGGGCAACCCTAAAAACCCTAATGGTATTTATGTAATTATTTATTTTTAATATTTTTTTTTCTCTACTAATTTCAAATTATAATTTTTAACAATTGTCAATCTCCGATTTTTCATCAATATATCTCAAATCTTAAGAGATAAAGATAGAAATACGATTTTTTAAATCTTAATCTATATATTTGGATTATAAATCTTAATATGCCAGATTAAAAAAAAAAAATCAATGTTATATAAAATATGAATAATACTACATTATTAAATTTTACTATGTTAAATTTAGTGTATGATATTTTCTTATTATGTATTAAATTGATAATTTTCCACATTAGAAATAATATCCCGTGCATCGCACGGGGAAAAAATGCTAGTTATATATAAAAGAAAGAAACGCTGGGCAACCCTAGAAAAACCCTAATGGCATATTTATAATTAATTAAATCTTCTAATTATTAAAATCTCTTTTTCGTTCTTTTTTAACTTTCGCTCCTAATTATCCTGCATATTATTTGTAATTTTGTTTTTTAATTTCATCGCTCCTAATTTTCAGCCCTAAAATCTCTGATGCACAACTAATTAAATCTTCTAATCATTAAAATCTCTTTTTCGTTTTGTTTTGTAACTTCCCCTCCTAATTTTCAGCCATAAAATCTCTAATGCACAACTAATTAAATCTTCTAAATATTAAAATCGTTTTTTTTTTGGTAATTTTTTATTTTATCTCCAGCATATTTTTTGTATTATTTTATCTCATATTTTTTTTCTTTTGTTTTCGATTTTTATCACATTTTTAATATTATTTTATCTCCAGCATATTTTTTGTAATTTTTTATTTATTTTCCATCTCAATCTTTTTTGTTCCGATTTTTCGGATTCCCAAAGACTTCCAACACTTTCAACTTCTCTCTCCCACTTCAACACGTTTATGTTTTCTCTTCATATTTATATCCGACCTCTCGACTTCTCAACCCATTCATATTTAGCTATTTTGCATGAAACCAGAAGATACGGTTACGATTCTCCCTTTCACCTTTTTTTCACTCCCTCTGTACATTTTATTTGCATCTGTATTTTTCTCATGTGTTTGTATTGCACCCTTTCATGTGTTTGTATCAATTCGTGGACTTTGGTAATCAACTCAGGTTCGGAGACGTCCTCCGGAAGGTCGATATCGAAAGACTTAATACCCAATTCAGCACAGGCTTTCCTTTTCATAATGCTTCAATCGGTGGATTCACAAATAATAAATGAAACAGGGTAAGAAGCTTCGTAAAATTAAAAATTTTAAGCTGCAGCCGGTCGGATGTGAAGATAGATAAAGATTGTAGGTGTTGCTGCAATTTACGAAAGTTTTAACAGCAGGGAAGAGTTTTTTCAATAATTACAGTTTGATCCCCGTTGTGGCTATAATGCAATTTTCGGAAGTTTCTCAGTCAGGTAGGAGTTTTTTTCAATAATTACAGATTGACCCCCGTTGTGGCTATGATGCAATTTCCGGAAGTTTCGTAAACTGGCAGGAGTTTCTTCAATAATTAATATAAAAAATATATGAATAATGTATTGCTTTCTATTTACAGTGGCAAATAGGAAATCAGTTGTTGACGACCCTATCATGGAAATCCACTGCTATTATCAAACAAGGTATAATAGTTTTTAACTTTATTGTTGTTAATCTTCAGTTTCCTTGCAATTAGATATAAAACTTGCTATCTTGGCTTTATCTGAGGTGAACATAATGTATGTTCTTTATTAAGTATCTAAGTGTATAACTATGTATATCATGTATGCAGTTGTATGAACACTCAATGCAATACATTGTGATGGTAGTCAATTGGTGTAAGGGATGCAGTACTGACTTCAAAACTTTTTCGTGTTTCATAATAGTTTCTATCGTTGGACTTGCAGTCATGGCATTTTTGTTCCTGCACGAGCTGACATATTATATTTCGACATACACTGTACATCAGGTTCGTTTTGTTCGTTTACATAGTTTTTCTTTATTCTTACCATAGCTTGTCATTATGGTTCTTAATATGGGATATAAAAACTTGGCAGATGTCAGTTGATTTAAAACGTGGAGAAACGCTTCCAATCCATATAAATATTAAATTCCCCTTTTTGCCTTGTGATGGTTAGTCTTTTTAACCTCTATTTTTCATTAACTTCTCATATACCACTCCTTCAGTCAAATCATTGGTTTTATGTGCTTCCGTGAAACTCTTATCTTCTTAGTGTAGTCACATTTTCCACGTCTTATTTTACTATGTGTGAATCGTTTCAGTTCTAAGCGTCGATGCAATCGATATGTCAGGGAAGCATGAAGTTGATCTTGACACAAATATATGGAAGGTTAGGAGAAGGGCTTAGTACGATGCAAGATGCAGAGATAGCCTTTTTTCGATGATATGTTGTCGATAAAATTTGCTTATTTTTTATTTTTGTTTTGTGTACTGAGTATACTTAGTTTACTATGTTCCACTGATGAATTATTAATGAATGATTGTAATAAAAAAAATTCATCATACGAATACATCAAATGTTTGTGTATATATTTACAACATCAAAACATGCAATTTGATGTCACGTGCATCGCACGGGTACAATTACTAGTTAGTATTAGTATTAGTATTAGTATTAGTATTAGTATTAGTATTAGTATTAGTATTAGTATTAGTATTAGTATTAGTATTAGTATTAGTATTAGTATTAGTATTAGTATTAGTATTAGTATTAGTATTAGTATTAGTATTAGTATTAGTATTAGTATTAGTATTAGTATTAGTATTAGTATTAGTATAAGTATAAGTATTAGTATTAGTATTAGTATTAGTATTAGTATTAGTATTAGTATTAGTATTAGTATTAGTATTAGTATTAGTATTAGTATTAGTATTAGTATTAGTATTAGTATTAGTATTCGTATTAGTATTAGTATCGATATTAATATCAGTATTTGTATTAGTATTAGTATTAGTATTAGTATTAGTATTAGTATTAGTATTAGTATCAGTATTAGTATTAGTATCAGTATTAGTATCAGTATTAGTATTAGTATTAGTATTAGTATTAGTATTAGTATTGTATTAGTATCAATATTAGTATCGATATTAGTATCAATATTGGTATCAATATATTGGTATCGATAATGGTGTATACATCTTATCTCTTTTTTAATATTTATAAGTTGTATTGTTGTTTGAGTAATGTACATCACTAATTGAACGTCGTTAGTGATAAACTTGCAGGTTATTTGATTATCTAATGTGTTACTTCTCTGCTACCGTATTTGTTGTTAAGTTAGTTACTTTGCAGGAGATTCACATGGTGTAGTAATTTGCATTCCACGAAATAAAGTTATACTATATGTTTTAAAGGATTTCACTTAATCTTCATATCGGGTTTTGCGCGCTTCGCGTTTTTTTCTTTGTATATTTAATTGAATTTCATATGTTACAACTCTAAATTAAGCAATTGTTTATTTTTTTATTTCCTTCCATTTTGTTTTACTTAAATTCTTGACGTTATAAAAAGATGATCGTTTCCATATTATTATTTATTCTCATTTTAAAACTGACCCCGTGCAACGCACGGGTGAAATACTAGTTATAAAAATATTAATGCCTAGATAAAAACTTTTTGTAAACCAAATGTTAGAATAAAAACAAAACATTAAATTTCAAATCTATTGTTAAATTAAATTTATAAATTAGAAAAAAGAATAAACAACTGATTTTTTTTTTTTTTTTGAAAAAACTAGAAGAATAAATTATTTTAAACAATAAAAAAATTTGCATATATATATATATATATATATATATATATATATATATATATATATATATATATATATATAAAAAAAAAGACAATTTGAACCCCTATGAAATTGAGCCCTGGGCGTCGCCCTGCCGCTCCACTCCAGAGATGGCCGTCAGCTAACATTATAGTTTTAAGAAATAATTTTCATTATTACCCTGTGTGTCCCAAATTATTTGTCTTTGTAGAGAGTTTTTCTTATCCCGATTTATCTATTATTTTAAATTTTCAATGGATCATTAATTTATTATTTTTAATTTTACCATTAATCATTGCTAATTAATTGTAAAATAATCAATATCTTGTCTTCTTACTATAATCTATAAATATTTATTGATTTTTTTAATATATGCACGGCAACCCAAAATATTATTTAAATCGGGACGAAAGAATTACGTGGGAATGTTTTGCTTAGTGGTTAAGGCCAAAATTCCGACCTCCAAACGGAATCTTGGAATATTCTAACAAATTAATTAACTATGTACTTTCTTAATAAATTCAATGAAACTAATCATAAACAGCTGCGGAGACGTATGGACAATAAATATGAATAAACTATAGTTTTTAATATTTTTAGATTATACTACCAAAACCTCTTGTCGGCTAATTCCCAATCAAAATGTGGTCAACATAAATTATTTTTGTTATTTAAATATTGTAAGTTTATTTTGCTTAATAATATGGACTTCCAATTCCAACTGTCTATGTTCACGCAATTCCTTCGGTCACTCTTTTACATCATCATCAAATTACATATTAATGATTTGTTGACAAAAAATTGAATTTGTTTACATATTATTTTATTTTATTTGGTAATGAAAGAACATGCCGTCAACTTTATAGGTGCATTGAGTGAACATACACTCTCGTATAATAACTTGCACACCATACGAAAGACATAAATTATACTAGGCTAACCATGTGTGACAAAATTGACCTACCATAAATATATATTAAGCAAAAAAAAAAATATACATAAATTATAGCAAAAAATATAGAAAATCACCATTAATTGTTTATTTTAATAACTAATTAGGAGTCATAAATGGCAAAATTGAAAAAATTGCGATTAATGCTTGTTGAAAATATAAGTGACAAATAACTTGGGATGCGAAACACAATATATATATATATATATATATATATATATATATATATATTATGGGACAGAGAAAATACTACCGAACAAGACCTAAATAAATTAACAAATTGGTAGGGATAAGGGTTGATTTGGTCTGATATAATTAATTATTACAAAATGATGCTTCTTGGAATTTGCCAAGAAAATATATTTAAAAAAATAATTATATACATGTTAGAAAAAGTCTCAATTTGTATCTATAAATACACCTCCGCATACGATCGAGGCAAGAAAAAACAAATTAAGTTATATATATTGCTGCGAATTCCAATTAAGTATTTATTTATTTCTAGAGAGGAAGAGAGTTATATGTCTATATAGATGTTAAAGCATAAGCATAGTCTTTTCTATTTAATTCTTTTCTCTGAAGGTGGGTGAAGGCATCTTCAACACTCTAATCAGGTAATTAATTATATATATTTGGCACTTTTAATTTTTTTTTTCCTTTTTTTTTCTTTTTTAAGTATTGGCTTTACTTTATGTCATTTCCTATTCTTAATCAATATAATTTAATTTAGGATAAATTACGGTCAACTTCTTGAGGCAAGATCAAAGTACGAAAAAAAAAGATATAATGTTTGGGTAATTACAACTACCCCTCGCAACTATGAATCTTTTTACCTTTATGGTGTGAAATTCAATAGAATATTTTAGATTCCGTGAAATGGGTACAAACTGGAGAATATAATATTGCACATAATCTAAAAGATTTCATTAAATTTGAAACCGCAAGAACTGACGTGTAAGAAGATACATAGTTACCGGGTGGTTATAATTATCGTAACATTAGGTGTTTTTTCGTAATTTGACCCTACCTCAGGGTTTGCCGTAATTTACCCTATAATTTAACTCGTTTTTGTTGGTTTAACACATTTTTGCCAAATTTATCATTTTTTTTGTTTTTACCTAGGTTAAATTGATATAAATTTTGAACAAAAACAATTAAACGACACCATAATATATATGACTTTTTGGAGCCGTACAAGAACAAATTATTTAAAAATGAAAAAAAAAAAATTAATTTATTTTGAATTAACATAAATTAACCGAGTTTTTTTTTTTTTTTTTTTGACTAGTTCAACCCTATTTTTGGCCGTTTTATATATAGACTAATAAGAATTTTCTTAAATATCTAGCTCGATTCGATCGACGGCTCGGAGTGCCGAATTCAAGAAAATATGTCGACCGGTAAAGGAACTCACGACTGCTACGAGCAGTACGAACTCAAAAGCTACGAAAAGCTATTCACGTGCGACGGCTGCAAAATGAAAGGGTTCGGACAACGATACCAATGCCAACTCTGCGGGCACGAGCTCCACAAGGAGTGCAGGTACCCAAGGACAACGACCTCCCACGACTATTTCCCGGGGTCAACTTTCGAGTTTCGCGATAACCCCTTCACGAGTTTCAGTTACAAAAACAATCGCAAGGAGTACTCGAAAATCTGCGACGCTTGCGGTAAAGACATATGCGGGTTCAGCTACCACTGTGAAGCGGATAACCTAGATCTGCACCCGTGTTGCCTGAACCTGAAAAAAGACCTAACCGTCGACGAAGCGGTGTTCAGTCTTAGGGCAAAGGTTTTGTTACGATATAATATTGAGTTTATTATTAGTTTAGTTAATATTTAATTTTTTTTCAAACGTTGGTGGAATTTTCAAGTTCGACTACCTATATTGGATTCGATTGGATTAGATGAGATTGGATTAACTCCCTGCTGGCTAATTAATTATTTAGTTAGTAGCATATTCGTATTACAAGAAAAAAAATCTTTTGAGTGACAACACTTATTTTCACAAAGTTAGGCAAAAAGTGTTGTCACTATACTTGTCACTAATGGGGTGTCATTAATGCTCTATAGTGACAATAAATAAGGATTAAGTGACAATAAAAAGAGTTATTAGTGACAACAACAAAAATGTTGTCACTTAATGTATGCATTAAGTGACAACTTTTGCATTTGTCACAATTGGGGTGCCGCTAATGCAACTTTTTCTTGTAGTGTCGGTTTCTTAGATTAGATCTTCTATTAAATTTGTTAAATTCAGTTATTAATATGAATTGTCTATAAAACCACTTAGTTTAAAATAATACGATATGATTTTAAGGATAAAATTGTTTTTTTTTCTTTTTTAATCACCCCTATTAAACTAATCTCTTGGGGAGGGGTGCTACTAATTTAATGCAATAGTAGCATTAATTAATAACAGGCTTTGATTTTAGTAGCGGGTTTGAAAAAATGTGAATCTTGTCAACAGAACGTGTTATTAGCCCCTAATTACCTCGAACACACGGCTATATATATCCTAAATATTATTCTAATTAATTAAAAAAATTAAATATTAACTAAACTAATAAACTAAATATTATATCGTAACAGGTTTCGTCGAAGTGCATGTGGTGCAGGAAGAGAAAGATCTCTGATGGGAAACGAGATGTTCCGGGATGGTCGTACGTGTCTGCATGCAAGAAATACCACGTGCATGTTTATTGCATGGCGGAAATCGTGCATGCGGCGTGTGTCGAGAATGGGGAGATGGGTTTGGAGAAAGTCGATATGTGGAAACTGGCTAGGGTTAGTGGAAACCGAGGGAGTCGAAGTGGTGGCGCCGTGTTCGGGACGATTAAATCGATTCTGAAGATTATTTTGTCTGCTCTTTTGGGTGATCCGACAATGCTGATATCTAATGTGTTCGTGGAGTTAGTTTCGCGTGGCTTTCAGTGATTTCGTAATGTAATTCATGTTTGATATTTCGATTGATTCTTGTTTGAATAGTTTGTGTAATAAGGTTTGTTTCTTTTTTTTTTCTTTTGTGTGTGTAATAAGTTTTTTCTTTTCTTTTTTCTTTTTTATGTTTTTTGTGTAATATAAGTTTTTTTTTTTCTGGTAAAGATGTATGTGTTCTTTAATTAGTCGACTTTACATAGGGAAGAGATTCTTATATTGAAAATTGTAGGGGTTAATTCAGAATTTACTAAAAATATCACAATCTTTCGTTACAAAAGTCCACATTTAACGGATTATATTGACAAAACAATTGACAATTTGACATGATTATTCTTTTGACAAAATTACCCCTAATCTATATAATCTTATATATAAAAGGAAGATATTTTGAACTAAACCCTAAAACCTAAACCTAGGGACAATTTTGACAATTCATATTTTGACATTTTCTTATTTATTTTATTTTTTCCTTTCGGCGGTTTTTTTTTTTTTTTTTTTTTTTTTTTTTGTTTTTCGTACACAATGATAACAATAAAAAATAAAATAAAACTAGAAAATAACACAAGATGTAAAAACTGAACACACGATTAATAACTGATCCATTTACATCTCACGTAATCCGCCTCTTTCTCGAAAATTACTTGAGCACCAAAAACTGCAATAAAAGGTAATTTCATTTGGCTTAACATTTCATCATCTCTAGAAGGCAAGCATTAGAGAGTTCCATGAAGATTGAAGAACCTCCATTTCCATCCCTCCCGTAGAAAACCTCAATGGGTTTTTTCAAGCTTCATATTTCAGGTATGAATTTAAAGGAAATTTGCTCATGAAGTAAACATCGAATTCTTCAGTTTTGTTCAATTCTCTTGAATTCGGTGTAAATGACACATGTTCTTACGGATTATTAAAAAAAAAAATTCCCAGAAATCAGGGTTCATGTAATTTGGAATACTGTAAATAAAACACACACATAGACGCATAAAGGAGTAAAATCGATGAAATTGAGGTGAAAAAGGGGTTCACTTAACAGACAGGTGATAGTTCCCCATAGGGTTTCATCATTGGAATCTGGTTCGTTAAAAATCGAGCATGCGGTGATTCGACTTTGTTGGTGATTTTGACTTCATTATTGTTCTTTTCTTTCATTTTATTTTGACTCTGTAGATATGGTTAAATATTTGAGTTGCTTTCCCTGCTTTTCATCTTTATACATCTATCTAACGAGTAAATAACTTATCAGTTACCACTAAGAAACTTATATTAGCCTCCACTAATGTGCAAAATCTTGGACCCCTTCTGAAAGAGCAAACTAACAACAGTTTTGATCCTCATCCCGGTCGCCTGTTCATTTGTGGTCGGTCTATTTTTTTTAAAGCAAGTTCTTACCTCATTAATCTTAAATCTAAGCGTTGGAGTTCTCTGGAATTATGTAAGTATATTAATGGGGTTATTTCGTAACTTTTTTTGAAAATTCTTGATCCTAACACATGTTGCATCAAACCTGTTTGCACTTTTTTTTTTTATCTTTGGACAATTTTTTTTAAACAAAACCTCTCGATTCTATGTTGTATTATTCACAGATTTTGGAGTAAGGTCATGATTTTATGCAAAGGTATTGTGAGTTCTAAATTTTTTGACTATATTTCCACATGTTTAAGTTTTGTTTCCTAGCTTATGGGATTTTACACGTTAAATATTTTGATCTTTGTGTACTATGTGCGAGTGCATGTAGACAATTATGAGAATTATGTTTTGAAACTTATTTGAACGATTTTAAAGTTTTATGTTTGTTTTGTTGGGCCCGCCGAGACCATCCTGGATGTAGAAGTGGAGCTTCATCGTCTTTTTCATTCCATTGTAAGAGCTTTTTGGATCTTGGCTGCCATTTTTGTGGTAGGCTCCTCTTACCGTTTTCATGAATGAATCGTTTGTCCTAAACCGATATTCTATTTTTCTTTCTCTAATTTTTTTCTTTCATTAATGTATCTAATTCTTCTACTTTCTCTCTCTAATTTTTCTGTTTCACTGGTATATCCAACATAAGGGGCATCAAAAAAACTGTATCGTATGAACTTTATTACTCAGTATATGTTTCTAATGTGATTCGTATAGTCCCACATATATCATATTTAGCTTAATTAGTTATTTCTAATTTGATTCTATATAGTGTTTCACTTAGTCTCTAAGATAGTTGAAGCCCCAATTTTGTTCTAATTTTGTTTGGCCATTGGTTTAATTGTTGTACATATCCAGTGCAAAGATTAGCTCTTGAGAATACAACAGAGCATGGTTGGTTCATTAGAGAGGTTGTGTGATAGAAGTGAGATAAATTATCTCGCTTATTACCAGAGAAGCATCTCTCTCTCTCTCTCTCTCTCTCTCTCTCTCTCTCTCTCTCTCTCTCTATATATATATATATATATATATATATATATATATATATATATATATATATATATATATATATATTTCCCTTGGTTTCTTTGCATTATCATTCATGAAGTATGATGTGGAATCTTAACTCTTAATTAATCATTAATAGCTAAAATTGTAAATATATGGGTATTGTTGCATCATAAGCTACTGAAATAATGTGAAAACGCACAAGCCATAGCCCGTTAGACTTTAGGCAAGTTTTAATTGTTATTACAGAAACAAAGCCTTACACTTACGGCACACCTTTCCTGTTGTTAAATTGTCAGGAATAACGTGATTTCATGTTGTTAAATTGCATGTGTGCTAATTCTTAAGAATGGATCCGTAGTTTGTCCTTCTTGATTTCAGTTCACATCAATTAATTATTCAAATATGCACACTTTTGGGCATTACTTTTTTTTTTTTTTTTTTTTTTTTTTTTTTTTTTTCTGGACATTGCTGTTTGTTTTTAGTGAAAGAGTTTATGACTAAGTACATTTTACTAGCAAGAATAATGGAGACAAGTATCATGTTTCCACAAATTTGTATTGCATAAAAAGTTATGCAGAGATCCAAGATAGGGTTGGTGTCACGAAAGTTATACCGAAGATCCATTGTTAGTTCGAGCAACGACCAACTGATCCAAAAGGGTATTCCCTACACTGCTCTGGACAGTAAGTTTCTCAATCCCTAATTGAATGTTGAGTGAAAAAAATTTGTTCCATGATTACGGTGCAATACTTTCAGTAATCTACTTTAAAATAGACTTCAATGTTAATGTGATTCTTCTGTATTTTTCTTTCTCTCAATCTCAGGGAACTTTTTTTTTTTTTTTTTTTGTAGACAGAGAATGCAAGTTAGTGATGGTGGCCTATCCAACTCTACTCTCTCCCAAGCATATCATCAAACATATTCAGCATCATCTTCGCCCTCCAATTTCTCTTGAAGAACACCAATGTTTGTCTTAATTGCCCCTGTACCAACTTTTTTGTTTGTTGTTGAAAACAAAATGCAAAAATATTCAAGTCGCCTTCGTAAAAAAATGCAGTCGTCAGGGGATGCTTGATAATATATGTAGCGTCTTCTTTGTGTGTTTTGAGCGGTTGTCACTGTAACAGCTGCTTTGGTAAATGTTTAAGGGCATTGTATCATGATTATTTTTTTACACTGCATTTTTACTTGGAAACTGATTTCTAATTTATGTAGCATCTTCTTTGATGTTTTTAGTAGCTTTTACTGTAGCAGTTGTTTACTTAAACGGTTGACAACTACATTTTTTTTTTCTTTTTCATATAATAACTCTTCACAGTTAGAATGCTCTTTTGATCTATAACCGTAGAAATGAGAAATAAGCGATGTTCAAAGTTTTAAATTTTTTGGACGTGGTGTAAGAGAAATTAACTTTTCAAATTAATACAATGAATATATATACAATTTTTCACTAAAATGAACATATTTATTTATGACTCTATATATATGGATATTATAGATGGTTTGAGACTTTTCTCATATCTACTGCATGGTTTCGTACACTTTTTCACAGTTTTGCTCGGATTTCAATCTTGAGAATGTTGAGAAACAATGGAGCAAGATGTGACAAATGATGATATTTTGGAGTTCGACAAGCTACGAAGGCCCAAATTTTATTGATCAATCGTTAAAATTATTTTTAATTATATTGACCATGTTCTCAATATCATTTATCCATATATTTACGATTTTTTATGGTGATGTGCTCTCAATTATTTAATTGAAGTATATTTAGCATATTAAGTTCTACAAATAAAAACTCTTCTCTTTTGTAATGGTATCCCGTGCAACGCACGGGCATGGTTACTAGTATATAAATTGAAGGGAAAATATGGGATCCCCCTTAGAATGGAAAATAATATAGTATAGGTACCATATCAAATACACCCTTATTCAAACAACCCTAGATTTTTTTTTTATTTGCCGTACCCCCCTTGTGATTAGTAGTTTCCTATAGTACCCTTAAATTGACAGTTACTTCTATTGACGGAACAAACGTGACTCTACGTTACCATTCACGCACCACACAAATCTCGCCATATCACGTGATATGCGTGATTTTGGTTTATAAAAAAATCCCAGAACATCTTGCTGGTGAAAAAAACGCGGAGAACATTTGTGCGAAGAACATCTTTGGTGAAATCAAACGCGGAGGTTAAAGTCTGCGTCGGGATTTTTTAGTACAACAACCGGATCGTGAAGGGAAATCTCAATTGCATAGTCGAGGTTAATATTAACAAAATATCACTTATATAGTTTGCGTGTTTTATGTTGGTACGATTTGTTCATGTTGTGTTTTGGCTAATTTCATAAAAATATAATGATTGTTGTTGATGTTTGCTTTAAAATTGGGAAAAATGTGTTTTGTCGTTACGATGATTGTAGTTGTTCAGTGTACCTAGCACAATATGATAACAAATCACAGTCGTTTATATGTTTTTGTTTATGGACAGATGTTTATAGGAAGATGGATGTAGTAGACTAGGTACTTTATGTATAATCTAGTTTAATATCATTCCTTTTTTTTGTTATATTTGTATGCATGTAATCTA